TTTGATCAAAAAACTTTAATGCTCTTAATTGTTATGACTTTTGTACGAGCAAATTTTAAGTTTCCCTAACTGCGTTCTGGAAACTATTCAGAACAGTACACTGAAACCTAGTTGGTTAAGTCAAAGTAATTAAAATTCGGCTAAGTTCAAATGTACGGAATGACAGAAATATCATTACCGTTTTCTCTACATTGATATCTTTTTATCATTATTGAACTATTGTCTTTTATGAGACTTAAGAAAAGAAGTAGCAAATTTTATTGATAAATGTTTAGAAGTAATTGCTTATTAGTGGTTTTTGCAAGCTACTTGATATCCTTTGTTTATTTCGTTTTGATAAATTGTAAGATAAGACAGTTTCAATAAATTTGGTATTTATTAGTAAATTGATAATGCTAATTAAGAAATCAATATTATTGATTACTCAAGACAAATCCTTTTAATGATTTTTATTGATTTCCGATATCAAGTTCTATTGATTGTTAGAGGATATTATTGATTATCAATTTTTTGATTTGACTACCCCAGGCATACATACAGTTTTCAATAAATAATCTTTGAACTCTCCATAAAAGATCTCCAAAATAGTAACACCTTTCTAAGAGTTCAACAATCTAATTTCATTTGCTTTAACGTTAAGATATTATCCTAGTTTCATTTTCTGCTCCTATGTCCATCTTGACTTCATCTCAGTCCACACAAAAACTAAAAAGCTCAGGAAATGTTTGTTTGTATGCTTGAACTGAGTGCTTGGCAAACTACATGACTTTACACCAGTATACTACAACTAAAATGTATAAACTACTTACACACAAAGACGTCAACACCTAACAACCAAGAAGTCCAACAACACCTACTGAAATAATTGCTTCACTTTTTCTTCTTTTTCTTTTTTATTTGCTTTGTTTAGCCTTGAAGTTACTAGCTTCTATTACAGTAGCTCCTCCAAAATTTGAGGTGACACAAAGCTTTCTGTTATGTTGTCATAGGAAAGTGTGTACTAGTAAAATGGAGACACCCCACAATTTAACAAGACCCGCAAAATTACTTCTGTTGGTGACAGAACTTGTCTCTCTATATTTTTCTTTTGTGGAATATTTTGTTTTAGTATAATTTCCAGAGGTGAATATAAGAATTGGACATTCTACTTGGTTGAAAAACTCATCGTATGACACTATATTCACCCTGCTGGAACTTGGTTACTAAGCTCGTTATCCTTACCATCTCGGCAAGTAAACATGGCAGACAGTTTCTGAATGAAGTTTTCATTTATTTGAAAGACATCACTCCAAGTCCAGGATACTCGAAAGAATGGGGAATTTTCAAAATGACTGCTGTCGCCCTTGGACCAAAAATCTTTTCAAGAGCTTGTATTCAAGGCTTTTAAGAATTGTAAACGCAGTGGTTGTGTTGATTGC